TATTGGACCTCCATTCTTCTCTACATGCTATACTTGGGAGCATTCACCTATCACTATGGCTTCAATTTTCACTTCTGTGTAGTTATTTCAAAATCTATATCCCTAGCCTATTTTCTTATTCATACTCTTGTCTAGTATCTCCTATAGTCAACAAATTTCTAAGTTACAGGGGACCAGAAAAATGGATTTGAGACTGAACTCCACTAGTAAGTAGTAGTTTTTTGTGATTTGGTTTAAGTCATCTGGAAATGAGAATAAGAGTACCTAATCTACTCATTATAACAAATTATTCTTAGGTTTAAATAAGAAACAGGGTCTGAAAGGGTTTTTGAAATACCAAATCACTACGCAAATGTAAGACTTCATTATTGCTATTATTACTTTTATGCCTTCACTTATGTTACTCTCCTTTTTTTCTGCAATTTATTTCCCCTTCTGTAGTTGTCATTTTCAAAACTCAACTTCGCCTAAAAACACTATAACGCTTATATTGTTATCTATTAGTTGAGTTGATGTTAATATTGTCTTCCAACCAGACTGAAAGCCCTTAGAAGTCAGGGGTCAAATCATTTCTATTCACCACAGCACTCAGAACATTGTTTGGCATGTAGAAGATGGTTAGTAAATATTTTTGACTGATTACTTTTGAGATTTTGCCACAGAAAGCCTTGGTTTTATTATTTTGTAAATTAGAAGTTTATATTTAGAAGAATTTGTGGTATTTAGTAGAATCATCCATCTTCATTTCTTTGTTTTATCTGTCAAGAAATATTTCTTGAGCAAATATTCCGTGTCAAACACTGAGCTAAACAGTGGAGATACACAGTGCATGCCTATTTCTGCCATAGAACTTAGACTCTTCCCCTAGGAAATGAAAATGCCTGTAACTTGTCTTTCAGTTGTCCTCTCTTTTGAAACTAGTTTTCCCTGAGAATATGAACACGCAAAATATCACATAAACATTCTACCTGTACATTCTTTCCTCATCTACTTCATTCCTGAAAACTAGACAGGTAGGTCTTTGGAAAAGTATTTTATAATTTTCAACATTTATTTAAGATGAAAACACTCATTAAAAAAGAAATGGAGAATTGTCTTGATAATAACTATCAAAAACTTACAGAAAATGTCACACAATAAAATAAAGACACATTCCCATTAAGATCAAGAATAAGATTAGGATAAATTAGAGACATCTTTGATTCTTCTTTTCTTTCACAACCCTTCTTGGATCCTATTGACTCAAAATGTATCTAAAATCTGACCACTTCTGATCAACTACACTGCTAATGCCCTGGTCCCAGCCACTATTATCTCTCTCCTGTATTACTGCAATAGCCTCCTAAAAGATGTTCCTGCTTTTACCCTTTCCCCTCTATATTCTCAGTGCTGCAAATAGAGTAAGTCTTTGGAAAATGTGCATCAGATTATGTCACTCTTCTGTTTAAAATTTTGCAATGTAGGGGCACATAGCACCTTTTGGGAACGATTGAAGTGTTCTGAATCTTGATTGTGGCAGTGTTTTGACAGGTGTATATATGTCAAAACTCAGCAAGTTGTACAATTTAAATGGATTCAGTTTACTGAACATCAATTTAATCAATAAAGTTGATTAAAAATATATTTAGGATTAAAGAATTTCAATTAAACCTAAGAGAAGCAAACTAACCTGCAAAAAAAAAAAAGAAAAAAAACTTCTAATACCTCACCATTTCACTCAGAGTAAGTATCAGAATGCTTACAATTGCCAACAAGGTCCTAAATAATATGACTTTCTATACTCCTTGATCGCATCTTTTCTCTTCAGCAATCTGATCCAGCCATATTGGCATCCTTGCTGATCCTCAGCCATCCTAGGAATGTTATTTAGGGCTTTTGCACTAGTCCGTCCCTCTATCTAGAATGTTATTTCCTCAGATTTCCATGGGGCTAATTCTCTCCTTCAAATATTTGCTCTAATATCAATTTTTCAATCAGGCTAATCTGACCACACTATTTAAAATTGCAACAATCCCCACCCCCTGCACTCCAATCCTAACCTCACCTACTTTTTTTCCTATAGAATTTGATACTTTCCACTATGTAATTTATTTATTTATTTTGTTTATTGTGTGTATATTCTGGTAGAAAGTAAGTTCTCTGAGGACAAAACTCTTTGTTTTGTTTACTAATATAGCCCAAATGCCCAAGACAGTGGCTGGCACTCAATATTTATTGAATAAGTAAATTAATGTGGCACTTATTAGATAATTAGTTAGAAAAGAATGAAATAATTGCTGGGAATTTTAACAATCCAGATGATACTGGATAGTATAAAGTTTTAGTGTGTCCAGTTCACGAATTAACTTATTCGTTCACTCATTCAACAAAGGTGAAAAAAAGCGATATTTGAGCTGGGTCATGAAAGATAATAAAAATTTCATAGGTAGAGACATTGGAGAAGTTTCTAAGAATAGCCAACTACTCAATAGCAGAGCCAGGCTAGGAAACTGCATCATGAGATAGAAGATAAGAGCATGATCTTGAAAGATGATATTGACTGATGGAAGAAAGAATTTCCAGCCCAGAAGCCAGACAACGTGGATTGTGGGGGAGACACAGGGTTGGCAATTGGCATAGTGAGGAAAATGAAAGGCTAAGGAAGAAAAAAGCAGCAGTAGAAGATTGAGGTGCCTTGACATGAGTTTGCTTGTTGTTGTTGTTGGAGAAATTCTAAGCTATAGAATAAATAGAAGGAAGATAAACAAAGTTCTGATTTGTACCATGAGGATTTCTTTGACATTTTTATTTTTCAATCATATAGTTTCAAAATATTTTTTTGTCTGTTGGTAACTGTGTTGATATGCTGCTTCTTTGCTGTACTCTAAGCATGCAACTAGTCCACTCCTTTCCCTTCACTCATCATTAAGTTTGATATCTTCTTGTTGACCTCTGAATGTCAAGAATAAACTCTAATTCCAGGATCTGCCTTACTTAAACAATGTTCAATTTTCTGGACATTCCAAAAACTCTTTCCCATGTGGAAAAAAATTCTACCCCTTGCTACTATTCCCTGAATTTTCAAGCTAATTCCTCTTTAATGTAGTACAAGCTTAATTTTGATTACTGTCTTGGTCATCTCAGGCTGCTGTAACAAATACCATAGACAGGGTGGCTTAAACAACATTTATTTCTCACAGTTTGGGAGGCTAGAAGTCCAAGATCAGGGTGCAAGCATGGTTGGCTTCTGGTGAAGGACCTCTTCCTGGCTTGTAGACACCACCTTCTTGCTGTCTTCTCACCCAGCAAAGAGTGAGCTCTGGTCTCTTCATTCCCTTTAAGAGCACCAATCCCATCATGGAGCTCCACTCTCATTACTCCATCTAAACCTACTTACTTCTTAAAGGCCCTAACTCCAAATACCATCACATTGAGGATTCAGAGTTCAAAATATGGATTTTAGGGGGACACAAACATTCAGTCCATAGTAATTACTCTTCCAGTATTAACCATAGTTTAATTGAGGCCTTTAGAGATCTTAAATTCAAAATACAAATGAATGAATTTCAAATGTTTGGATTTGGGGTAATTTGAAGTGCTTTAGAAAGTGGCATTTCTAGTGTCTCTCCTAAATCGCAATATATACATAGACGTTATTCCACCTACATTTAAGGCTAGATCCAGTCAACACTTACTCCTAATTATTTGGGAAGCATCATGATGTAAGAAAGAACACTGAACTGTAAATCAAAAGTGTTAGTGATAAGACACAGTTCTGAAAATAAAATCAAGATTCTTATAGTCTATGGTCAAAAAAATAGGAACAGATAACTTATACAGAAGGAAATAAATATAAGAAACAAAATCATGAAAAAATATTGGCCATGGTTAATAACGAAAGCAACTCTCAGATCATTTCTCATCTAATAATGCAGTAAAAATATATATACCTATATTATATAAATGCATAACATAAATGTTATATGTATTATGTATGCAAGATATCTTACATAGAGATTATATATATTGTTATATATATGTATTTATATATATATATATTATATGTATATCTTATACAGAGCTGTTGAGGTTTCAGGAACAGTGGCACATTTATCCAGTGCTTACTGCAAAAGAAGAACAGCATAAACTCACTTAACTTTCCTCTGGACCTATATGTGACTATGTAGGAAGAGTCATAAATGGGACAGCATTATATGATCAGTAATCCCATTACTAGAAATGTGTTATAATTTAAAAAATCAGCAGAAGGAAAGACAAACTCTAGGTATAAAGATGATGATTGTCAAACTGTTTAAAAGAGAAAAACTTTGGAATTAAATTAATGTATAAAATTAGGAGAATAGTTTAGTAAAATATAAAACACAGAACAGTATGAATTCTTTGAAATGATAATTATAAAACTTTGAGAATTGCGGGAAGCATTCATACTACAGTGTTAAGAGAAAGAAGTAGGAAAAGAATACTATGAGATTGCGACTAAGTAAAAATCTGCATGTTTGTGGACAAAGAGTAGACTGTAATATGTAAATGTGAAAATGCTCGTATTATTGTGGTGGAATTTGGAGTGACTATCAGTTATTTTTTAATGTGTTTTTATGTTATTATATTAAATTATCAATTTTAAAAGTGTTAGTCTATTACAGTAGTTGTGAGAGCTTAGACTCACACATAATGTAACATTGTTAAGACTTGGTTCCTACAAAAATGCTGGTGGTTGGACTAGCATTCAGTACTTCTCACCTTTATGTGGACATTGAGATCAACCAGGGAAACTGTTGAACATGCACATCACTGACTCCATCTCAGATTTTCACTTGGTAGGTCTGAGGTGGTGTCCAGGGACCTGAATTTTTAATGAGAAATAATAAAAATGATATCCAAGTTTCCTTCCACCTATGACAGTCTGTGTTTTGGTTTGGTCCTTGAGACACAAGGAACTCTCTATAATTAATAAATAAATAAAGTTTTACTTATTTTCATTTTTTTACTTTATTCCTCAGCCTGAAGCAAAGTGGATTCATAAGCTGCTTTAAAGAACAACTGAGCGCTTGGTTTCACAGAATGGCCTTACCACAGTAAACACTAACTACTCTCAATGAGCATTTCTACTTCTGTGGAACTGTAATAAATAAAAACAAGTCTTCCATGAGTACCAGGAGTTGATTTTCTTTTTGCACATAATTTATAGCGGTGTGTGCTTTATTTATTAAATGCATGAACTACTCAAACCAAAATGCTGTAACATTTTATCCCATGTTCTGAGGCTTCACTTTGGAAGCTATTTCTGAGTTTAGGTTGAAACTTAGCCACCTTCCTTTGGATGTCCTTACATGCATATCATGTTTTGTTAAATTTCTCTTTTACTTAGCATTAAGGAAAACTAAACAGAGGATGGAAGGAAGAAATCAGATCTTTCACACCTTAAAAACAAATAGCTATATGGAGATAGTAATACCCACCTCCTACATACCTATACAGAGAGTTCTAAATGTAATCATCTCCCTTTAGACATCTTTTCTTTAGTTTATTACTATATTTAAAAAACAGCAAATTCTCCTGGAAGAAACCCACATTTATGAATTATTTTACATATATCTATCAATACGCTTATCACATTCTTTCCTGAGAACAAGAAAGGAATGTGGAAGGAAAGAGGATAGATAATAGATAGATAGATAGATAGATAGATAGATAGATAATTGTCTTACTCTGTTCGGGCTGCTATAACAAAAATTCCATAAACTGAGTAGGTTATAAACAATAGAAATTTATTTCTCACACTTATGGAGACTGGCGAGTCCAAGATTAAGATAAGATTTGGTTTCTGGGAAGAGCCCACTTTCTGGTTCATAGACAGCCCTTCTCACTGTGTTCTCGCATGGTGGGAGGAGACTAGGGAACTCTGTGGGGTCTCTTTTATAAAATCACTAATCCCATTTATGAGGGCCCCACCCTCCCTAAGGCCCTACTTTTGGGATATTAGGCCCCACCCTAATACTATCACAGTGGCATTGAGATTTTAACATATGAATTTTGGGAGGATACAAACATTCAATCTATAGCAATGATAGATATAAAGTTACAGATAGATAGAAATATGGAGACCTCCTTCACTTCACAGAGTCTGCTTTCCGCCTTTTTGTTATTGTCTTGACTTCCAAGTGTAATCTCAGAAATTACTAGATTTCAGATCCAATTCTTAAAGATGTGTCATTTTTCTAACTCATTTGATAACCTTACACATGCCCTAAATGACATATTTTTATTTTTTATTGCAACATTGTAAATAAGAAAAGTTTAGAAACAATCCAGTTATCTGTCAATAAGTAATTGGTCGAATATATAACAGTACATCTTCACAATGGAATGCCATGTGAATGTGAAAAAGAATAAGAATAAGGAAGCTGTCTATGTAGTGAGGTGGAAAGATCTCCAATATAAATTTAACTGAAAAAAAATCAAGGTACAGAAGATAGTCTATGCTGTATCAGCTACAGTATTTTTTAAAAGTGGGAGAGAGAATATATATATTTGTATTTGTTTGTCTTTGCCTAAAGTAACTCTGGAAGGATACAAAATAAAATAATAAAACTGATTACCTTTAAAGGAGGAGTGGTGTTTGGAAAAATGAATAGATGAGGGACAGGGATGAAGTTTAGACACAATATTGATATTCAGCCAGTACACAAGGATAGAGCTGTACTGGCTGGTAAAATATTTCCTAAACAGGTGGCAGCTAAACTGTTCACCCTCCACCCTAAATATTGTTCTGGCCTTCTCCCCTGGAACACCAGAGATCCTCCGGGAATCAAAAGCTAAGACATAATGAGAAGTATAAGAAACTTTTTAAGGGCAACATTGGTGAAAATTACAGGAAAAAGAGAGCAGGGGTAGGTGAGTAGAGCCTTCAGACTACCATGCAGTTCTAACCATTGTCAAAGAAGAAAGGAAAGAAAGGAGAGCTGGGTAGGAAGAGCCTCAGACTGAGCTACAGCACAGAGAAAGTCTCAATCAGGCCAATGAGAAGCCCTGAGGAAAGACTGCTCTTTAGAGGAGTCTGTTTTGGGCAGGAATACCTTGACCTTAATACCCCATGGTGCTCAGCCACCAGCTGTGAGTAGTCTGGTGAGAATGTGGCCCCGGCCTGCACACTGGTGGGTCACAAATTTTCTAGCAGATAGAGGCTGTCAGGTGACTTCAGCAGGATCTGTCTTAAATTGAGATCTGAGCAACAAACTCCCATGACTGTCACTACACAGATCCACTTCTCTCTCTGTCTTCACTTCTCCAAAGTTCCTGGGCTTTTCCTCCTTAGGGGAAACTTAGAAGAGAGGGGATAGTAGAAAAACTATAGCCTCCATCACTGCAGTTGATCTTAGGATCACAGTTGTTTGGCTTTTACACTGTCCATTCTAAATTTCCCTCATCCTCAGCTATTACTTCTATGGGTCTTGATACGTTATCTGGTGTTATGATCCCAAATTCATTCCTAAAGGGTCTGAATTCCCAGTAAGCATACCCTCTTCAAACTCCATTTACAGTTAAAATTTGGCAAGGGAGTACCAAGAGATACCCAAGTGGATCATGTGACTTCTGCAGATATTTTTTCCTTCTCATATTGTGAAAATCAGTTCTACCTCCTTCTGCTCATCAGCTTAAATTACTCCTCTGAAGATAGTGACTAACCTTCACAACAGCTGGCCTCTAGGCATAAAAAGTCCAAAGTTCCCTGGAAGCAGCCATAACTTGTACTTGGGTTATCTACTTGGGATTATTGCTTTCTCTCCTGGCAAGAGTATGCCCCTGTTTGGGGATCAGGACCTATAACTCTGCAGCAGCCAGAGCTGATGCAACAAGAACAGGAGCCCCTAGTGAGTCATTGGAAGTGATGGTAAGTGAGGTCACTCAAATATATCCCTTGGTTTCTGGGCACATGTGTTTTTCCTACTGAAAACACAATATTATATAGAAGTTTCTGCTTTAATGTGTATACTGCATCTTAAACGATGGCACCAGATCTTGCAGAGTATTGCATCCAAGCTAACACTTCATCGTGCTTTCAGTAGGTCATTCTATCTCTCTCCGACGTCAGCTGCTTCTGGATAGTGCAACATATAGTATGACCAGTGGATCTCAGAGTGAGGAACCCGTTCTTACACCTCCTTCACTGAGAAGTAGATCTCCTGGTCAGATGCTATATTCCTCCAGGCCACGCCTGAGTGTTGCTGTAATGTAGGTGCCATCCATTTTCAGCTCGAATCCACATACCAAGCCAACCTATTTATAAACCAAGCTCAGGCTTTCTCTCCTCCTTCATATATCAGAGGTGCAAGCTGAGGGAGGGTGCTGGTACAAGTATGTTGGATGGCATGAAGGTCTGTTTTACCTGGTCATGCAGCTTACTTATACTCTGTGGTCCTGTTCAGACTTGATCCAAGAATGACAATGTCTATTTTATCATGGACAGCTGCTGGACGTGTATGATTTTTTGACTTGGTGGGTCCAAAAGAACCTGGCTTATAATTGGCAGTTCTGGATGCATGATCATTTGGTGCCCTACAGTATATCATTTTGTCTCTATTATGTCCCTGTACCATGCCAGGAGCAGTCTCTCAAAGGGCACATAATTCTCTAATATAGATGGCATGGCCTTGCTCCAGAATCCCAGGGGCCTGCATTGAAATTCTCACAGTGGAGCCTGTCGTATGCTCCTCCTTGCATCCTTTCCCACTGACATCTTCAAAACCGTAGTATCTTCTTGATTATGTGGCACAAGCAGCAGGATTACCCATAACCTGGACTTGCTGCCAAGCCCTTTTCTGTTTTCAAGCCCAATTGAAATCTGACAGCCTTTAGCGTTACCCAGTAAATGGAATGGAGCAGCATTCTTGGGTGTAGAATATGTTGCTCCAGAATCCAAAGAAGCTCACAAGGCATTGTGTTTCCTTCTTTGTAGTAGTAAATGCAAGATGCAGCAATTTTTTTTTTCTCTTTAGACGAGGCAATGTCTCAGCATGTCCTTGACCTCTGGATTCCTAAAAAATTTACTGAAGTTGCAAGTTTCTGAATACTTTTAGGATTCATCTTCCATTCTCTGGAATACATATGCCTTAATAAAGTCTTACAATATACTATTCACCTTTTTGATTATTCTGCCTAATCAGCATAATGTCTTCAATGTAATGGATCAGTGTGATATTCCACACAGTGTCCAGGTGTTCCAGAATTTTTTTGACTATACAATAGTCCAAAATGAGAGATAATGGGAGATTTAACATAAAACCCTGAGCAAAACTATAAATGAATATTTTCTGTCCCATGTGAAGATGAGCTGTTTCTGTTTCTCTCTTCTAATTGGATAGAAAAGAATTCATCACCCAAATCATTGCACCTGAGGTCTTACTAAGCTGATCTAGCAATGATATTACGTCTAGCAGGGCAGCTACAGTTGGGGCTACTATGACCTTGTGGTAGTCTAAAGTCATTCTCCACCATCCATCCAGTTTCCTCAGTGGCCAAATTGGCAAATTAAACAAAGATATGTGTGGGACTGTCGCCCCTGCATCCTTAGATCTTAAAAGTGGTACAAATCATTACCAACTGGACCCAGGGATGCTAGATTGTTTTTCCTTTCTCTCCTAAGGAGGGAGGGGAAGTTTCAAAGATTTCCACTTGGATTTACCTACTATAATTGCTCCTACCCCACAGTTCATGGACCATATAGAGGATTACTTCAACTGTCGAGTATGGGATTAGCAACTATACACTTAGGAGTTTGAAAAATGACCATTAGGTGGGTTTGTGAGATCCGTTAGACCCATTGTAAGCTGAACTATAACAGGACTCTGTTTGTTACCTGTCCACATGTATTAGTTTTCTAGGGCTGCCTAGAAAAGTGGCAGATGCCTAACCTACCACAAACTGTGTGACTTAACAGAAATTTATTCCCTCACCATTCTGAAGGCTAGAAGTCAGAAATCAAGGTGTTGACAGAGTTTGTTTCTTCTGAAGGCTAGGAGGGAAGGACTCTCTGCTTGGCTTCTAGATGGCTGTCTTCATGTTCACATGGTTCTCCCTCTATGCATGTCTATGTATCCAATTTCCCACTTTTATAAGAACACAAGTCATATTGAATTAGGATCTA